GGAAGATTTACCTGGGAACTGTCGAAAGTCTATACATACATTTCCAAAGCTTTTAAATGCCGACTGTAACATGGAGAGAGGAGGTGGCAGAAGCTGAAATGCCTCAAAAGCCATTTAAGTGTTACGTTACAGGATTTTCAGTCCTTCTCATTATGTAAACGTAGATAAATATAGACATTTTCTCAACACTACCCTGTAGTATCACAATGGTCCAAATGCCAGAGCTTACAGATAATGTCATCACAGTGCCTAGAAACTCAAACTGTAATATACCGTAGCATTTTCTTGGTGTTTCTTAAAGTTTCTTTCACAATATAAGGCTCGCTCTGCCTCTTGTTTCTTGGAGAGTTCACCCCACTGATGAGTCTTCCTTTGCTGTTGGACTCAGCCATTGGGGAACAGTCTTAGAAGCACATATCAACCAAGGAAGAAACTTCCTGGATATCTATTTCCCACTTCCCAGGTATAATAAACACTAAAGGGGGGAAAATCAAAAATAGCTGCCAACTGGTCAACATGGAAAGGCAGTTCCACCCTAGGTTGGTGTCTTTCTTTTTCTTCCTTTTTTAAAAAATCTATTTCTTAAATAATAATAAATGCACATGATGTGTTAAATATGTACATATATATTTCAAAAGAAAAAAAATGGGGCACAAGATTGTCTTACAAGTCGTGCTGGCTAATTTTTAGTTTGTATTCATAAGTGGTTTTTAAAAGCCTTTTTTAAAGTGTAATTTGCATGTTCTACTTTGATTGTATGTAAACATATTTTAGAACAAAAAATGTATTTGTATTTTATTGAATATAGAGGCAAGAAAAATTGTACATTGTTTGAAATGTTCTTTTTGTAACAGTTTTTATTCATAAAGCATTTTTGTACATTTAAAATGAACATGGACTTGCTGTTATTTGAGGCGTAGATACATCTGGCATGCTTTACTGTCATGCTCCTCCATGGTCTTAGATGTTGGGTTTTAAACATTTTTTTCTAAAAGAAAGCTCAGTCTTTTTCGCTACCAGATCAGGTTAGCACAGTATAGAGCACTTAACTATTAAAAAAAAAAAAAAGTTAATCCTATTCATATGTTATTCATTGTGTGAAATTAAAGACATTCAATTCAGTCTAACATGAGTTGTGAATTCTTTTGTTTTATTTTCCATCTGGTTCACATCACTAAGAAGTTTAATAGCATTCAGAGGTCTTTGCTCACACCAACTGGATACAGAATCATTGAGAAAACTCTAACCAAACTTCTTTCTTTTGTATAATGCTGGGGATACATTGTGTGCAAGATTTGAGCCTGATTTATTGAGTTACTACACAGAGCGTAAATGTTGCGCTACCTGGACATCAAACCAGGTCTTATCTATAGTTGAATCTTTGCGTAAAACAAAGGGTACTATAGGACGTTGGAAACCCTCCTGGCCAAAACTTTTAGAAGTACATTACAAATAGGAATGAAGATTTCTTATGAAATATCCCACCATGTCAGACATTTGAAAGATGGATCCCTGGCCAGACTTAACATTTTGTTGTAGTGACAGCAAGGGTTATTCAGTCAACCACAGACTGTCATTGATGCCCCACCCAGTGTGTACACTGAGAATCCTTGCTCTGAAAGAACTTGGAAGGCCTATATTTGAAAAAGGATTAGCAGTTCTACACAGAACATGGCCAGGGGTAAAAAAATGATGGGGTCTCAGAAGAAGGGTGGAAACCCTACCTCTTCTTTCTTCTAACTCTTTCTGCTCCAATGTTTAGTATCTAAAAGTTAGATTTGAACAATGGCTTTAAAGAATAAATTGCTCATTCTACTTTGTAAAAGGCATACATACATTGAAGGACTTTTCACCTTCTTTCTTTGTCTTATCTTCTGATATTACCTTTCACAAGCCTGTAGATAGATATCCCTATGTTAGCAGCTCCCCATCCCTAACATCGAATGTATGCACTGTGACATTTATTATGACTTTTGGTGTTTGCAGAATCCACAGCAGAGTATCAGAACTTGGTGGAATGGAAGATTTCAGGAGTAAGCTATTAGGGCACCCACAGAGTGGTTGAAGCATATGTGTCTTTGATAGTCTCCTAAGACTCAGGGAATTTCATCAGCAACCTCTAGCACAGTATAATTCACCCTCTTTTTCCTTTCCTCTGCTGTGTGGTACTGAACCAGAAAAATTTAAAGCATTATATAGTCCTCTTCCTAACACGTGCTCATTAGACTATTGGTATTAATATTTCTGAGGTCACCAATGACTTCTGAGAGTGCCCCTCATCTCTTCTTACCACCTGCTCATGCAGGGACAAAGCATTTGCCTCCGAGTGGACTGGCTCAGCTTTAAAGTTTGTAATCCATCCAGAGGGTAGCAATGTGCCAACAACAGTTCTGAGGAAATCCAAATATACACCCACATGTGAATGGTATGAAGCTCAGTCCACAAAGTGGCTGGAAGGAATATACACTTTAAAATTATTCTTTGTCTCAAAGTTTTATTCATTTGTAAGACCTCATTCCACCAGCATGGGAGAATCTCAGTTCCAGAGCAAGGGAATATTTTTCTAACTTGTAGTAGAAGGAAGGAAGGGTCCTAGAAAAAAACCTAGCTTCAACTTTCTTCCAGACTGTTTCTCTGTACCCAGTTCCTTTCAGTGTCCCTAGTTTCTAGGCATTTGAAACTCACAAGCCAGAAAAAAAGTCTTTTTCATTTTTCCCCTCTGCTTTCTGCTGTCAGATACATGCCCAGAGGGTATGAGCACAAACCAGCTTCACTGACTGCAGTGGGAGGAGACAAAGGTAAAAGAGCGAAGATGTTGGAAATCAGTTACCAGTACAAAAATTGTAACGGGCCATGTGCAATAGGTATAGAGGGCAATGGGATGTGCAGAACCAAAGGATTTGGCCAAGGTCATTAAAGGCTTTTTATAGATCAGATCAGATCATGTGTAGGAAAAGAATAGTGTGGAAAAGTGGTGTGCATTTCCATTATTATTACTAACACTTCATTTTTATGGGAAATGCCAACATTCAGATTTTTAATTGTTACTAAAGTTGCGGTAGTGCACTTTCCAAAGTATCAGGAGGGTTTTATTTCCAGGATTAATTTATAAACAAACTAGTTCCAGGGTGTTGTTTATATTTACACATGGCAAAACTGGGAAGGAAACATGAGAAATGTGAAAATCTCGAAAGAATTAGAAACCACATGTAAACTTGACATTTTTAAACTTATGTCTCTACTTTTTAGCTAACAGAGCACTGAAATTTGAGTCAAGAGACCTGGACCATTGCCACTTAGTCGCTAAAGAACACTATGCCCAGGAACGTTTTCTCACATGTATAGTACTCAGTTGTACTCATGGCCACAGAGATTTCTTTATAAAGACCACTTTCCTCCCCTTCACTATCCCTCACCCCTGGCAACCATTAATGGGTGCTCCATATCCACAATTTTATTTTAGAAAGGGTACATAAATGGAATCATGCAATATATGTCCTTTTTCAAGTGAGGTCTAATTTTAAAACAATTTTAGATTAGGAAAAGCTGTAAAGGTATGCAGGAAGTTCTCATGAACTCTGCACCCAATTTTCCCTCTTTTTAATGTCCTATGATAATATGGTACATCTGTTAGAATGAACTAAACAATATTACTACATTGCTTTTCACTAAAGTCTATACTTAATTCAAACGCCCTTAGCAAATGTCCTTTTTCCTTTCTAGGATCCCATCCAGAATACTACATTATATTTAATCCTCATGTCTCCTCAGGCTTCTCTTGGCAATGATGTTTTTTCATATTTTCTGTGATTGTGAGTTTTGAGGAGCCCTGGTCAGGTATTTTGTAGAATATACGTCAACTGGGATTTTTGTAATGATTAAACTGGATCATGCATTTTGAGAGGAAGACTACAAAGGTAAAATGTGATTCTCATGATCAACCATGGCCTGGTGACCAAAGCAACTGGATCTCCCATGACTGACCATTTGGTTCAAGTCCCAGACCCAAGGTCTTGAAAACCACATCTGGTGCATATGTATGTATTCCCAAAGTCCTGACAGGATGGGAAAATAGAGGAGAAGGGATTGGGGCATGACCACTCCTCTTGGGAAGGTGCTTTCTCCATCTCATTCTCTCCGTCTTTCTGTCTGTTTCTGGTGCATGCTCACATCCTCTGGAAACATTTTTTAAAATGTGATTATCGTCTAATCCTACCAAGAACACATACTATTAGCAGAAAGTCTGAGGTAGTGTCTGATCATTTTGTTCATTGCGAAGTTATTCTCCCTCTACTCCTTTCCATACTGCATTCTTAGGAAGGAAGTCTCTACTTGGAGTCTCCACCTCATAAAGGGCTGACTATCTATATGTTATCTAGAATTCAAATGCAGGAGAGATTTGTCTTTTCTTTTAAACAATTTTGATTTTGAAATAATGTTAGGCTTATAGAAAAGTTGCAAAATCAGTATGAGTTCTATTTTAAAAATATTACTTAGTGTTCACTAAGGTTAACCATCTTATGTAACCATAGTACTTACCAAAACTAAGAAATCAACTTTGCTACAATACTGTTAGCCTAACTGCAGACTGAATTTCACCAGTTTTTCTTGCCATGCCATTTCTTAAAATATTTAACTGTTGCAAAATACACATCACATAAAATTAACCATCAAAACCATTTTAAGTGTGTACGTCAGTAGTGTTAAGTAGATTCACATCACTGTACAACTACATCTTCCCATTTTTCCCTATGCCCATCTGGCAACCCCTATCCTTCGTTCT